TGGCGCCCAATAGCGCGCCCAATCTCGCGCGAAGCGGACATGATGCATCTCACCTGGTGCTACCAGGTGCTATTGGTCGCCGTTGGGCGTTATTTGACAGCTCTTCGTCGCGACTGGCCGCTGTTGAACGTCCTCTGCCGAAGCATGCGCTCAAGTCAAAACGAACGGACGTTTCCACGGTTTTCTATCTAACAGGCCCATTGGCCTCGCGGCCAAAAAATCACGACGGACAGCTGTCTTTTATGCACGGCCGCTGAAGCCCCTTGCCAGGCCCCGGGGCCGCCACCTAGATCGGTCCACGTTGGGGAACACAAAAGAAAGAACGTAACAGTGGGGGTCTGGGGGGAATGCGATGAAGGAACGCAGGGATAGCAGGGCGGGGAGGGCGGAAGACGGGGAGGGGAGGGCGGTCCCTGAGATCCTGACGTCGCATTTAATCTACACTGGGCGTCTTCGCCTGGCTTCGGGCTCGCTGAAGCCCCCACGATCGATCCGGCTCGGCAAGTGCAGCAGGAAGGCGGGGAGAGCGGACGAGGGGGGGTGTGGAATGTACGGGGCCAGCTGCATGGAATACAGAAAGACACGTAGTACAAATAGGGGGGCCCGTTCTGGGAGAGAAAGAGAGAGAAAGAGAGAGAGAGAGAGAGAACACCTTCCCTTTTCTTTTACGGGGGCTCGGGCGCGCCCGCGGCCACTGCGCCAAGTATCCCGGGGGCCCTGCGAGCCAGAGCGGCAGTGCAGAGAATATGAGGGCGAGGCGCAGGAGGAGGAACGGCTGAAACATGTGTAACAATCGCAGCTCCTACATCTTTGTCAGCCTAAACGCCGAACAGCCTCCGCTCACACCGGTCTTCGTACCGTAGCCATGCGGGATACCATTGACTTGACAATGCCCCCAAAGCGTCCGTGACATGCAGCCGCTAGAGCCACGTGAACACATGGCCCTCAAGAGCACCTTCAGGAGAGGTCCACAAAGGAATTGTCATATCCCTATTCGCCCGAGCTTTTCCAATCTCGCCCATGAAACTCTGCGGCTCAGCGTTCTCTGGCGAATAATGAAGGCCAGTCCGCTCCAAGTAGCGGGCTGCTGCACTCAGCTCAACGGTCCATTGCGGAACCCATCTCTCTCTCTCTCTCTGTGGGGCCAGCGCGGGGGTAGGAGTTCCGACCGGGTCGCCCGAATAGGCGCTTGCACTTGGAAGCGTAACGGGAAACGCCCTTGCAGTGAGGTGCATCCTGGCCGTGCGATTCCAAAGCTCGTACCATCCAAAAGCATACTCCGTGTTTTCGATCTTGTCGCAGATCCCTCTCACCGTTGTGGTGTGGGTTCAATGTTTGGTAAAGTATGTGCTGCCTTCATCCTGACGCCACTTCTTGTGAACGTGCACCCTTCGATGATTCGCGCGCCGCTTGCGGTCCACCAGCATCGCGAAAATGCATGAGTAGAGATTCATCTCAGGACCCACGTCAGACGACATGTGAACCATGTAGTTGGAGCAGCTGCAGCAGCGATGCTTTCCCTCGCAATAGAGGCCGAACGTATTTTCAGTGCAAGAGGGTCCCGGTTTCAGCATGTGCGCGCCACGCTCGCTCCACGTAGTAGCAAAGGCCGCCAAATTGGTGCCATGATACGCGGTCTGGAGCTCGAAGTTCTCGTCTTCGGCAAGGGCGGTGTCCCGCGTCGCATCCCTGACGCTCGTCATTCACATATCTTTAAACCGCCATTGTCCTTTCGGGTATGCGATAGGGCCGCAGTCATAGGGCCATGAATCTTGGTGGAGAGGCGTTCCCGAGTAAAATTGGATCCATCCGCCAAGTAGTTGTCTCAAACTGAACTCCCAAAGCCCAAACGTCCCAAACAATTGTCGCTACAAGGTGTGTCGGCCATCGGATCTTTCGCCACGTTGAGCTTAGGGTTCCTCTTCCAGGCAGTGCCCGTCATCTTGTCGAAAACAATCAGTTTCCCGCGACGTTTTCTCTTGCGGGAGCCTTTTGGACTTGCCTGTCGGAGGAGGCTGCTTGAAGAAGCCTCGCCCGAGCTTCCGCTTGCGCAAATCGTGTCGTGCTTGCCTGTAATTCGCGTAGATGGTGACGGCCTCGTCTTCGTCCAAAATCGCATCCTCGGGCATGTCTCCAGCTGCGAAGAGTGCCTCTTCGCCGTCCATGTACTGGAGAGCCTCATTCAAGACGTCGTCTTCTTCGAAGGCCTCTGGCAGGGTAAGCAAGGCCTATTGCATGAGAACCCAGTGGGCGCCCTCATGATCATTTTCCTGTCCATCATGCCCTTATTCATCTCCTTGATAACCGACGAGATGTGAAGGGGAATTCCTTCCATGAGTGCGATGACCGCCTTTTCCTGAGGGTAGTGGGCGTTCCAGCTGACGGAGCTTCTCACCCACCGCGTCAAAATCATATGGTCCCTCAGTCCAGTGCCCAACCGTATCTCAGGCAGCTTCACCTAGTTTTGACGCTCTGAGAAACAACTTTCCTTTCAATTCGTCTGGTAAGATAGCGTGCTTCTCGACGTCTCGGAAAAGCACTCGCTTGTAAACGATATAGTTGGCAGGAGACTCAGCTCGCTTGCGCATGGTATCAGCAGAACGGAAGAACTTCTCAAATGCCTTCAGCATCCTGCGGTCTTGGTATTCGGCAAAAACCTTTTTGATATTCTTGACGACAATCTGCCCGCCGTCCTCCGCGGATAGCTGTTCGTCAGTGGGTTCATCGGTGATGATTTTAAATTCGTCCTTGGCATAGCGGTAGATCAGGTGCCCAATTTTTTCTTCCAGGTATCTTGTATATCGTGGGCCACATCTGCAGCTCACTCGTCTAAGGACCCGATCGAGTTTCAGGATCTTTTCCACCCCGTGTAGGACGTAAATCATTTGGTATCTTTGGAGCCTCTGGTTGTTCAAGAAATTGTCCGCTCCGTCGATCAGAAGATCGGGCAGTGGCGTCTCCCCAGTAAGTCGGACTGAACGGCGCAGGCCTGTCCCGCAAAGGCGTGTTCAACCGAGCTGGTGCAGCCGGCGAACCACGACCCAGCGGGTTCCGACCTGGTGAAGGAGATCGGGTCTTGGGCTGGGTATCTGTTCCCTGTTGCGCGGGCCAACGCGCCCAGTCGTCATCTGACCAGCCCACCTCGTCATCACCGTCCCAAAGAATGTGTCCTCGCCCTCCGCCTCCTGCCAATGGATCCTGTCCTGGCAACCAAAGATCATCCGGAAATTTGTCTTCTGGTAACTGAGCGTCGGCTTGACTGTCCATGGCGGCGCTCGGCGCAAAAGGGTGGGAAGCGGGAGGAACGGGAGAAGAGTATGGACTTGGTCACCCGAAATTCGGGTGGCGGGAGAGTCGGCCTGACTCTCCTCGTGGATCGGAACCACGCGCTCCGCTGCCACTGTGCAATGTACGGGAATAGCTGTACGGAGTACAAAGAGACACGTAGTACAAATAGGGGGACCAGTGCTGATAGAGAGAGAGAGAGAGAGAGAGAGAGAGAAAAAGAGAGAGAGAGAGATATACCTATATATATATATATATATATATGTATATAAAAAAGAGAAAACAAACAACACAACACGTTTTCTTTCCTTTTACGGGGCTCGCGCGCGCCCGCGGCCAGCGCGCCAAGCAGCTCAAGGGCCCTGCGAGCCAGAGGAATGACAGGGCAGAGGATGTGAGAGCGAGGCGCAAGAGGAGGAGAGGCTGAAATATGTGTAACAACCACAGGGTGGGGCGGGAAGGGAGCAAGAGGAAGGGGAGGGGCGTAGGACGAACGAAAGACCAGGAAACCCACAGAAGACGAACGAGAGACTCGGGCCATACGAAAGGGGGGTACAGTAAAGGGCGGGCTGGTGAATCAGTTCACGTAGCTGGTTTTCCCAGTGCCTCCCTGCGTCAGGAGACGCCAATGTATCAGGGAACGGCGCCAAGCGGCGGGGCCGAAACCAGCTGCATGCAGCAGATTTCGCCACCTCCCTTCTCCTTATCCCATCCCTCTTTTCGTCCTACCCGGCACCAGTGGAGGCATCCCGCGTGGGGTCAGAGTCGGTAGGGAGGCAACTCCTGATGGCCTTTCGTAGGAACCATTGAAAGCATGTCCCCCAACGACCTGCCCGCGACTCACCCGCAACCCTCCCTCGACCCACTGGCGACCCGCGCCCGCGACCCACGCCAGCGATCCACCCATGACCCACCCACACGGAATCGAAAAAAATCGCCGCCTGCGTCAGGCCGGTTGTGGAAAGGCGCCTGTGGCGGGCTTCTTTCCGCTGGCTTCCAGGCCTGGCGGCCCCGCCGACGCCCTTCTCCGCGACCCGCCCACCTTGTTTTGCAAAAGAACTGCGCTTGCGGTGAAGCGATTGCTTCAGAAAAAATATGGCGGAGAAGAGAAAACGGGGACCGTGACCAAAACTGAACGTGGAGACGTCGTGACGATCTTAGTCACCGTCGATCTTGGTCAGCGTCAATGCGTGGATCACCCTTGCGAACAGGCGACGGCCGACATTGACCATGACCAGTATCGGCATCGACACGATCCCGCGACATCTTGGTCATGGTCCCCGAGTTTCTTCCCGCACGTCTTCCCTCAAAACCAGCACCAGAGGCGGGCTTCTTTCAACTTGCGCTCGAGCCCTACAACCCCAGCAAAGTAGTCTGGGCGCCCCCATGACTATTAGCCGCGATTGCTGGCACCTTCGGTGGGCCTATAGACGGACCAAGACGCTTCGTCAACGCTCGGACGACGACGACGAAGACAGCGACGACCACGATGACGACAGCGACGACAGACGACGCCGACGACGACGAAGACGACGTTGAAGAAGACGACGGCGACGACGACAGCGACGACGACGACGGCGACGACAGCGACGACGACAGCGACGACGACGACGACAGCGACAGCGACGCCAACGGCGACGACGACGACGACGACAACGACGACGACGCGACGACGACGACGACGACGACACCGGCAACGAGAGGGCCGCGTTGGC